TGGCTGATACACCTATTAACGGTTCTGTACTGTACGACAATGTACATGCTGATACACCTATTAACAGTTCTGTACTGTACGACAATATACTGACTGATACACCTATTAACAGTTATGTACTGTACGACAATGTACTGGCTGATACACCTATTAACAATTCTGTACTGTACGACAATGTACTGACTGATACACCTATTAACGGTTCTGCTTTATCTGAAAGTGTTATTGTAAGGTGTCTGAGTGAAGTACCAGGTTTGTTAAACAAACCACAGTTGACAATAAAAACTGTCCTATTATGCAGAGCGAAGCACTCGAAACACACACAATAGTATAACACTATCAGCATCGATCAAATATGGAGTGTATGAAAGTCTAATGACAGAAACTCCGTCTTCATTTAAAATGGTCAATCTTTAAACTTGTGCATCATAACCGGGTACATCACCAGTATTCGTGCATAAGTGAAATCACATATAATATAATACTACCTGTAGAATAGAATTAATATAATACTACCTGTAGAATAGAATTGATATAATACGATCTGTAGAATAGAATTGATATATTACTATCTGTAGAAAAAAAATGATATATTACTACACGTAGAATTGAATTGATATATTACTACACGTAGAATAGAATTGATATAATACTATCTGTAGAATAGAATTGATATATTACTATCTGTAGAATAGAATTGATATATTACTACACGTAGAATAGAATTGATATATCACTACACGTAGAATAGAATTGATATATTACTACACGTAGAATAGAATTGATATATTACTATCTGTAGAATAGAATTGATATATTACTACACGTAGAATAGAATTGAAATATTACTACACGTAGAATATAATTGATATATTACTACACGTAGAATAGAATTGATATATTACTATCTATAGAATAGAATTAATATAATACTACATGTAGAATATAATTGATATATTACTACACGTAGAATAGAATTGATATATCACTTTCTGTAGAATATAATTGATAAATCACTATCTGTAGAATATAATTGATATATTAATTACTATCTGTTGAATATGATATATTACTATCTGTAGAATAGAATTGATATATTACTACACGGAGAATAGAATCGATATATTACTATCTGTAGAATAGAATTGATATATTACTATCTGTAGAATATAATTAATATATTATTACACGTAGAATTGAATTGATATATTATTACACGTAGAATAGAATTGATATATTACTACACGTAGAATAGAATTGATATATTACTACACGTAGAATAGAATTGATAAATTACAATCTGTAGAATAGAACTGATATATTACTATCTGTAGAATAGAATTGATGTATTAATTACTATCTGTAGAATAGAATCGATATATTACTATCTGTAGAATATAATTGATATATTACTACACGTAGATTAGAATTGATATATTACTTCCTGTAGAATAGAATTGATATATTACTATCTGTAGAATAGAAAAGATATATTACTATCTGTAGAATTGAATTGATATATTACTACACGTAGAATAGAATTGATATATTACTACACGCAGAATAGAATTGATAAATTACTATCTGTAGAATAGAACTGATATATTACTATCTGTAGAATAGAATTAATATATTACTACACGTAGAATTGAATTGATATATTACTATCTGTAGTATAGAATTGATGTATTAATTACTATCTGATGAATAGAATAGATATATTACTATCTGTAGAATATAATTGATATATTACTACACGTAGAATTTAATTGATATATTACTACACGTAGAATAGAACTGACATAATACTATCTGTAGAATATAATTAATATGTTACGTCCTGTAGAATAGAATTGATATATTACTATCTGTAGAATAGAATTGATATATTACTTCACGTAGGAATCAATTGATATATTACTACACGTAGAATAGAATTGATATATTACTTCCTGTAGAATAGAATTGATATATTACTATCTGTAGAATAGAATAGATATATTACTATCTGTAGAATTTAATTGATATATTACTATCTGTAGAATAGAACTGATATATTACTACCTGTAGAATAGAATTGATATACATGTATTACTACCTTTAGAATATAATTGATATAATACTATCTGAAGAATAGAATTGATATATTACTTCCTGTAGAATAGAATTGATATATTACTATCTGTAGAATAGAATTGGTATATTACTTCCTGTAGAATAGAATTGATATATTAATATCTGTAAAATAGAACCGATATATTACTACCTGTAGAATAGAATTAATATAATACAAGCTGTAGAATAGAATTAGAGAATGGAGAAAAAGTAGTGCTTTATACCTGTAGAATAGAATTAGTAAATGGAAAAAAAATGGAGAAACAGTAGTGTTTTATTCCTGTAGAATAGAATTAGAAAATGGAGAAAAGGTAGTTCTGTATACATGTAGAATAGAATTAGTAAATGGAAAAAATGGAGAAACAGTAGTGTTTTATTCCTGTAGAATAGAATTAGAAAATGGAGAAAAAGTAGTGCTGTATTCCTGTAGAACAGAATTAGAAAATGGAGAAAAAGTAGTGCTGTATTCCCGTAGAATATAATAACAAAATGGAGAAAAAGTAGTGTTTTATTTTCAATAGAGAGACATTTTCTGTCAACCATAACAATGCTGCATAAGACACCGATACTAGTTTTTTCGTTGTTGTGGTAATTGCTTGGTCGTCAACAATTTACTTGTAACTGGTGAGAACTATCCAACATAGACAAACTATGCCGGACGTCTACGCTCTGTTGTTGTGAACTTGGGTCAATACATTAGCTAATTAGGATACAGGTTTGAGAAACTAAATTCTGACCTTTCATTTCACACATTCAGAATAATGAAATCGTTTGTTTCGAATTTCGAAACTACTTTAGTCTTACGTAACTTACGTAACAGTGGGACGTGTTTGGACCAAACACAAATAGTATGCTTGTAGTCAACGGCTGTAGGGAATGGGTTCTTTTGGTTGGTCAAACACGAAAGGGATTTATTTTAAGAATGGAATTACCTATTTTCAATTTATATCTCGACATGAAGCATACCTAATATACGCATGCTCGAGCTTTGTTGTGTCGAACATTAAGAATTTTGTCTATTTCGCCACCCTAAAATTGATGTCTTCAAAATGCTTGTGTCCATGGCGACCACAGTGACCAGGAAGTCATCATCATGTGATATTTCCCGGAGCGGGCAATAGTTCGTTCTGTCCGGGCAATAGTCGTATAACTGTTTACGTGTTGACCGGCTAGTGTAAAATAAATTAGTTTGGAAATAAAAAAAAAACACCTTAATATATAGAAAGATCTGAAAGAAAGAAAAACATACCAACATATTATAATGTTGATTCACGTTTTCATATTGATAACCGTAGTTAACTCCGACAGGATATATGGGATACAGACACACAGTGGATATTGTGTGTTTGTACGAGTGATATTGGCATGCCGCGATTATGCATCTGACCCAATATCTCGCCGTTTGCCCAGTTTTGAAAATAAAATTCTGAAAAAAATAGTGGATTTTTACATATAATCGACTGTGAGTTATCCATCTTACTCTAGATTTGACTTCCCCACAACTGCCACATGCGGTGTGGGGAACCCCAAATATCAGTTTCGCCTTCTTTTTTTCAATAGTTTTTTTTCAACCTTTGGTTCTAGGAGGTGACTTTTCCCAATAGTATTTTTTCAATTGTGTTGACATTGTGGTCTTCAGCGAAACCAGTCCAACCTGACACATGGTGAGAAACGATGGTCAGATTAGGCAGGGTGGCAGAATACACCAGTCTCATTCGGAAGTTTCCATTAGAAATATTATTTCAGCATCATGTTTTATTAGATAGGATGTTGCGATACTCTGGAACATAAAACAGGTTTCACTGTAATCCGTCTGGCATAATATTCATTCCTGTGACTAATTTATGTAAAGCTGGCATTCTTATTTCCTGAAAGCAGTCCAATACTTAAATTGATCATTTGTGAAATCTGTTTATCCCATAGAAAGTTCACTTACATTTATTATAAGATCTTATAATTTGTTCATGGTTTTAGCTTGTTCAATGAATAGAACAGACATCTGTAAAGGAAGAGTTGGTGGTATCCAACGTTGCAATAATGTGTCGTCATTATAATGATGACGTCAACAATTGGCTCATAACATTCATAGCCAATATGAATGTAATCTGAATGTGGTAGGGATATATAATGGCAATGCCATATAATTGTAAAAATAGTCTAATTGAACCGTCATGGTTAACATTTTTTTGTCAAAAAACAAATAACAACACTCCCGTCTTCAGTCTCTTTTTTATATAACAAAATAATTGCAGTTTTGTGGGGATATAAGCCAACACGAATACTCACAAAACATAATGATAACACGAAGTAACAAAACGTTCAAGATGCTTATAGAATATATAACGCATGTATGTATCAAGTCTGCAAAATTTTAAGTACTAGTATTCAATTTCATTTTAATGTGCACATTCATATATGAGGTTATATTTTCAATACTTTAATCATCACTCAGACTCAGTCATTCAAAACAAGGTCAACTTCTTCCAAGGTCATTCATAGCTTACGACCTTAATGACGTCATTGGGACATTTATGTACCAGAGAAATTATTCTACAACCACAGAAAAAAACAATGCAGAGCCAAGTTAACAATAAAAGTGCTTTTGGAGGACAGCTTAGCTCGCCTATTCGAAGAAAATTAGAAAAAACAGTTATATCTAACGAAATAAAAAGAAATAGATACAATCACCGTTCCCTGTTTAGAAAGCACTACATCAATGCTGGACCCGCTGAAAACTTTAAAGCTAAATATCGATATCCCAGTACAAATAGTGAATGTTATATTGACGAATGTCAACACTTACCGTAACGCAAAAACGTTTACCTTTGGCAAAATATTTAAGATAAAAACAAGACATTTTTTTCACTGCGTTACATCAATGTTGGACCCCTAGGGAACCATTTTATGCTAAATAATAGCTAGTTCAGCTACTGCATATTACATCAATCATTCTATAAAAAAAACTTTAAACCTAGTAACGCCTACGCTGGCGCTGGATTGACTACACAATCTTGGAAAAGTCGAGCTAGAATGACGTCATCACAGTACCATTAGGCATCAGTTGACTTGAATAACACAACGTCAGGTTAATAATAAAATAAAGTATCGTAAACAATAACATGACGTCACGTGGAGGTAACAACAGATGTAAACGGTATAAGAGACATGAACTAGTACAACCTATCAGATGAAGACAGATTTCTTCTTATAATCAGAACATGGCAGATATTTGTTATTGAAATAAAACTCTGTCGATTTGAGTGTTCAGTCTCTTACCACCTGCACGTGCTACGTTTACGCGATGTATCCGTTTCCAGCTGAAACGTGTGGTCTCCGTGTATGATCAATAACGTTATCCTATCTGATATGTCCATCCAGTGTTACAGGAGAAACCACATTGGTGGGTGTCTGGTCGTCCTTAGAGGAGGCGGGAAAGCAATACCAAAGACAGATGTGTTCGTCCGCACCCACAGAGGCTGAAAAGGGAAAGTATAAAAAACAATCGTTTTAACTCAAAAACGTTGTAAACAACTGATTCTCGAAATTAGTTTATTTGGCACCTTTCTTTCCTTATCGGTAATCTTTCGTAAAACCTTCACAGTAACAAAGTACAGTCTGTATTTATATGAAGTCAGATATTGATTACAGGCGAGTCAATACCCAATACAGTCACGTTCTAACATATATTCAATGATGGCCAGTAGTGCACCTTGGGGTTATGTTTGAACGGAATTGTTAAAGCAAGTTATCATAAATATAAAAAAAAAATATGCACTCCAATCCTTATGTTCGTGATCAAAAACGTTTAAATCTACTTAAGCAAATAGTAGACAAGCATTTTTTAGAGATAGAATATCGTGTTTTCTGTTATTCCGCCATGAGAAAATTTCACTCCGAGCTAATGCATGATGATCCATTAAAACGTCAGCCTATGGTTAGCCTCCGGTTACTCTAACAGTAAGACGGAAACACCCGAACAGTGTCTGGTAAGGATCGTTCATGTCATAACAATATTTTTTGTTGGTAGGTTATCGAAAGAATGAACAACGCAATGTAAATGTTATACAGACCTATACACACGTTCGTTGTTTGACGCAAACTCTATGGAAGTGCTACACAAAAATATGCAAGTGCAACGGAAACGCCGTGCATGTGTAACGCATGTGCAACGCAAATACTACGCTAAAACGGTAAATGTGAAGGGGTCTGTATCAATAACGTGGTTTCGGATTCACGTCATATGTATAAATGACGTATTATTGGAGGTTACGTCACCTACCTATGTGTGTTTTGTCTGGACTCATGGCCAGATGTAAAGGACGGCCGACGTGCTGCTGGAGTTTAGCAACCGGCTCAAAACAGAAGTCCTTTTCTTCCCACAAGATCAGGTCATTAGTCTCATTTCCCTCGACTTTTGTCAGTCCGTGACTGGACACAAGTTCATGGTACTCCTCCGACCACAGCATACCACAGATCTATCAAGACAGCGGTAAGAGTAATATATAATAAGTACATATAAAAAAAGGACTTGTTCAAATGATTTCATGATTTATTTTACCAATACCTACGGACGAAGTCAGTACGTTTCTTTCTCACTCTTCAATACAGAAGGTTGTAATGCGTATTTGTTGCAGAGGTTCTGAGTTCAAGACTCAACAAGAAAATTAACAAAACAAAAAAAAAAGGTTTTCTTTTTTGTTTGTTTTTGTTGTTGCCGATTTCTTGCTAAAAAACTTGTTACTGTACAAAATCTATCCCGACATTTACTTTTGTAGATGAGATACCTGTGACTGGGTTGAGATTTCTCCCACCATATTCCCGGTGTGGATGTTCCATAAGCGGATGTTGCCGTCATCACACCCACCACCGGAAGCGAGCACGTTCTTCCGCCATGGACACCATGCCAACGCCTGAAAGGTCAAGGACAATCAGACATCTGTTTCTGTTTAACAGTGAGGATACCGTCAGTGATCTATTTGTATAGTTAATAATAAAACACATTGTGTATATACAATACACATGTACTGATAAATCAATTGTTATTCATTGTTTTGGTAGGCAATGCAAAGAAGCTACGTTGACTTATAATTCACGCTTACCTTTGCTAATAGCGTGTGAGCTTGAATCCTTCTGTATACCTTCGACGATCGAACATCCCAAATACACACAAGTCCGTCCCCACCCCCACTGGCCAAGTAGGGAGTACCTGGTCCCTGGGACAGTCCACACACCATCACGTCATGGCCCCCGAGTCGGGCTACTGCCGTCCTTACCCTCGGGTCGTGTTTGTATACCGTCCCATGGCGGTCTCCACTACAACAGGGATGACAATTTTCTCGACTATTTGATACTTTTAAACGTTAATCGACATGTACATGCACTCTGTCGATTTTTTATGTGGTTTCCGATTTGTCCAGGTATCTCTCCGAATACTGCCATACATGTACGACTTTGCACAGAAACGGTTCTACAGCAAACAAACAGAAAATGTTTTAGGTATAAAAAGGATATTAAAAGAAGTTTGTTGAATATCTTATTCCCATAAATGTGAACAAATGCGTAATCGGTAAAAAAAATATGTCAAAAACCCCTTTATACGTCTTTATTCTATATGTATTCTTTTTTCAAATCAAGAATTTCTTTGATATCAAGTGTTTTCGTTTGTAATAAGTGGCATGGAGATTGCTTTCGGAATTGAACCAATAATTAGTGCACTGCTAAATAAGTGAACAAAATGTTGGTTGTGTACGATAATTTCAATTAATAATTTGCACTGGTCACCTGTATATCCCCTGTTCAGTCCAGCGGACGATGTTGACAGGTGTCCGTTCCTTCAGGTGAGTCTGGTGGTTGATAACTGAACATTCGGGGTCACAAACCTGTACGAGAATGATTGTACTTTAATTGTTTGTGTGATATATAAATACCATGTATCTTTTTGTGACTTCAAACGATATCTATATTCTTAAGGGTGTATGCTACCTTACATTTCATACCTGTGATTTGTATCGAACCGACCTCCTACAACAAAAAAAGAAAGGTCAGTTTAATAGCGAGCTTTCGTACTTCACTAAAAAACGCGAATGATACACGTATCAAAATGTTATTACTAACCGTAATATCGCCGAGATTGTCGGCTATGACGAGTTGTGTCCCCTCGGGGTCCCAGGCGAGGCAAGAGATGTAATCGTGGTCCGGACGAGAAGTGGTCAGCTGGATTTTTTGACAGACCTTAGATTGGGCGTCCCAAACATACGTCGTCAGGTTAAGTGCAACAGCAATTTTGTTTGTCTTGCCCCAATCCAAGTTGTTCGTAACTATTAAAGTAAATTGATAGTAATTTAACAGTACAGGGAGGCACGGTAGTCTAGTGGTAGGACGCCGGGCTCGTGACCGAAGGGTTGCGGGTTCGAGTCACGGCACGGCACTGTGTTGTATCTTCGAGCAAGATACTTTACTCCGCTTGTTCCAGTCTACTAAGCTGTAAATAAGTACGTGATTGGTCAGCGCTAGAATTGTTGAATGCTAGCTGTAAGCGCCGAAATGGCAGCACCGGCTGTGTGCTACGAGGGGTGTTGAGAAAGGTATTGGCTGGTTTTAAAAATCCTATAACCATGGATAGTTACTTGTGAACCGCTTTGAGACGACCTACAAACTAGGTTGTGATAAAGTGGTATATAAGAACCTCGAATTATTATTATTTCATGTACCATCAAGTTTCAATATATATATTCTTCCAATTTTCCACATGAAATCACATTTGCCAGTTTTACAGAACTTTATATATACAGTTGTTTGATATTTGAGTATTTTACAAACAAGGTAATAAAATACTGTGGAGTTCGAACTCGGCTCCTATACATGTACAGGTACACTGCCAATCGTAAAAACCTTATCAGTGCTGCTATCGAAAGATGATAAATGAGAATTTAAATGAGAGATTTATACACTGACAAGGGAAGTAACTTAAACAAGATAAAAAAAATCCGTCATTAAACACTTAAGATTATAACTGACGCAGTGGTACCCTTAATCTAAGTTGAGAGAATCCATGGGCTTAAAACTATTTTGTAAGTACCAGTGATCTAAGTACAGATACAGTAGCTCGGTAACACTGTTCCTAAGTCATGATGTACATTAGTTAACCCAAATATATTACATTACAATTGAATTAAGATTGTATTCTTATTTAAGGACATTCCAATATGGCTGCCACACCAAACTGTATATCAAATTCAATAATGCATTCCGCTAGCATTAAACAAACCCTGTCACAAAATAATAATCCTCCAATATTTCTCAAACATAATTGAGGTACATGCACACTAAATTTCAGGGGAAAAAACCCATTCAATAACTGATGAAAACTCACTTTTTATATGTTCATTTTCCCAGCTAAATAAAAGTCACAATTTAGGAAAAAAACTTTTAAACCTGTAAATATCATAAGGTTGGATGTCCATGGAGATGCATTTTTCGAGAAAAATGTGAGAAAATGCTTCAAATCTCGAGGATGATGACATGTATTTTGATTGGATATTTTACAATAATTCAAGCTAACAAGACTTTAGATACAAGTCAAGCCAAATTACCCGAAAACCTGTTGTGAATGGTGTATAGGTAAAATCTCACTTCAAGTTCAAGTTCTTTATTACCTTGGGTCGTTTGACCCATCGGTTTCAAAAGTAAGATATATTTACAATATCTACAGACAATACAATACAATACATGCAATACATACAATACAATACCAGCAATGTACAAACAGTATGGAGAGTGTAACAAATTAATTTAATTGGTTTCTTCTTACATTTGCCGCTTTTATATATTTGGCCAAATTGACAAGTTCTTTTGTGTTATTTACATTAAATAGATTTATCATTTTAAACATGCTTGTTTTTTTTACATAGTACTTTTTCAAAAATTTAACACGCAAATCCGAATAACATGGACATTTCAACATAAAATGAAACTCATCTTCAACGTCATTTAAATTACATACAGTACACACTCTAAGACTACGCTCAATATTTTGATATCTACCTTTTTCTATATTTAGATTATGAGCAGATAACCTAATTTTTGTAATCTCTTTCAAATATTCTCTAGATGATGCTTTTCTTAAGTAACACTGTAAATCAAACTGGTTATAGAGATATGTATAGATATATCCCTTTGAAGATGTTCTTACGTTTTCTTTGCATTCTTGTCTATATATATCAATAAGTCTTTCTCTAATAACATTATAACACATATCATCATTTATTTCTGTTTCCCATATGTAACTTGCTTTGCATGCTTTTTTCCAACCTCAGTCAGCCTTGTTCGCTTTGTGCTCAGTTGTGATTAATTCAGGGGAAATATATGCCATTATTCTGGAGATTTGACACATTTTCTTACAATTTTCTCGACAAATACATCTCCTTGACATCCAACCTTATGGTATTTACAAGTTTAAATGGATTTTTTCCCGAATCGTGACTTTTATTTATCTTGGAAAATGAACACATAAAAAGTGAGTTTTTTCTTCAGTTATTGAATGTTTTTTTTCTGAAATTTAGTACAAGATATAAGAAACTTTATTTAACGTCGCATATATCAAACAGAGAAACATTAGCGCAGTAACGCTATTTTTGCGACAAACATGATAAAACCAAACAGAAAACAACGAATCAAGCTATACACTATCACAGAAAGCTAGCACTTAATCAGCGAGAAAAAACTTACAAGTTGGCAAAAACATAGCAGCATATATAATTAGATATCTCAATTATGTTTGAGAAATATTGGAGGATTATTATTTTGTGACAGGGATTGTTTAATGCTAAAATAATGCATTATATATATATGTACATTGTACCTCGGAAATGTAATGTAAACATACAACATTCTAAAATTGCATAACAAATAAAATCTACATTTCAATGTAACACCACACCAACCTACAGCCCCCAGCCCCAAACGTCTTCTCTTCTCTTTCTTATAATATATCCCGCCCCCTCCCATTTCCGTCGAACCAGATATCATATTTACATATCATCACTTTTTACTACGCCCGTAAACCTTCAACCCTAACCCCATTTCTTTTGCAAATGTGTAACAAAATCCTCACAGAAATTGTTCCGTAACTTGGGGAGATCCATGACGCAGATCGGAGATTTGGGTACGTGTCTTCTCTTCCGTCTAGGGGGCGTGGCAAACAAGTCATCCATTTGGGCGTTAAAAAAGGGGCGGTTCGGAGACATCGGACCTAGAAAACAAAATACACCAGGAATTGTTCACATGGAAACTTTAAATAATGCTTTAAATATTGGTGGGCGGTTCGTCTAGTCGAGGAAAATAAAGTTGAATGTGTAGCCAGCTGATCATCATCATCAATTTCCTTACTAGATGCCAATAATGTTGAAATTAACTACCCCCATTGTAGCTTGGCAATGCAGGAGATGATAGAATGACAAATGCCGTAGTCGGATTTCGTTTCTATCTCAGAATGTCTGCGACATGTACCTGGTTCCTGTGTTTTTATATAGACATAATGTGCTTATTATAGATACAACGTGTCTGGTCCATTGTTAAAATAGATATAATGTACCTGGCCCTTGTGTTTTATTTTATATAGACAAAATACATTTGGTACCTCTGCTTTTGATGTGCTCGGCCCCGGTGTGTTAGACATAATGTGCCTGGTTCCTGTGTTTTTACATAGATATAATGTATCTGGTCCATGTGATAAATGCAAATAAAATCCCTGGTCCCTGTGCTTTTTATACCTGTATATTTCTATTTTACACACTCACTTGAGTATCCGGAATCGGGTCGCTGTGCGGTCGCCAATATCCGACGGTCACTTTTCTTGAAAACAGCATCCAGCAGCTTCCTGTAGTATCGTGACCGAGGGTCTTGGTGTTGGGCCGGCTGTTTGAACGTATCAGTCCCATCCCTGTGTGCCAAAATTTTGGCATAGGATGCGTCTGCATTTAAACATGGACGGTACGGAATGAAACGGTCAAAAACGTTATAGCTTGTCCGTACTCGGCGTATTCTCCGTCTCACAGACGGTGTGCTATCTTCCATGAATTCCAGTCAAAGTTTACAACACTTGTATTGATAAACTCATAGTATTCCACGGATTCAATAGAAATATGTAAACCTGCCGTGGTCTGGATTACCACGGAGAGGTAACATCATCTACCGTGACGAGTTGAGTGACCACAACTCGCACGTGCAAATTCAGGTTGATTGCGCACAATAGGTAATACATTATATCGATTATCTTGCATTACAGCCCGTTTTACCTGTCTCTTACAGATAAATTTATACGTAAATTTTGATACTACGTACACGTTTTACTCATTTGATTTATTTAATCGACTCATTATTATTAGCGGCCGGATAGTCCGATTGCAAACTAACTAAAATAGGTCAACCCCCGCATTTTTAACCGGCAAAAAAGTGGCATTGGAATTCGAACTCGTCTATCTGATACCGTTTCTGTTAAGAGCTCCGAGGATCCCTGGTTCGAATGTTTTCTTTGATTGCTGAATACCTCTCCAATTACAATGTACAGGTATGCGTGCTTTTAGATGGAAATACCTTTTTAGCCTGTCATCACAGACCTCTCTCTAGGTTTGGATATCTTAAAATTCATTTGCTAAATTAATAATGACGTGTGCAAAATATACATGTCACTTCAAAAGTAAATAAGTAAATAAACTGTAACCTGATATTTCCTTACTTTGATAGGAACAATATGTATAATTTGTGAAGCGATTGTATGTATGTGCGTGCCCTCAAGTGTTTTGCGACTACATGTATCTTTTCTTCTGAGGCTCGTATACGTCACATTCGAGACTTGATTATTGACCTTCAGTCTGTACAGGATAACACTATTCTCATTAATACATGCGATTTAAACGGAAACAATGGGGGGGGGGGGGGGGGGGGNAAGAATAACCAAATGATCATTTTCCCGGGTTTGCCAACGAACATCACTAATTCCGAGGAAATTATTCACAAAAGGAGTTAAATCAAACGTGACCTGCTGCCACCCTATTTACGTCGCTAGGGTTTTATACTTGAGATGCTTCAGCTCTCTCTTCAGAAATTTTACGACCATCTTTTTCACCGAATAATTAAAGAATCTTCGACAATGTATCATGTTGTTGAAAGACAGACTTTACCGACTTTGCCTAGCTCTGTAAATCCTGACGGGAGCCACAGCGGTGTGTTTTGTAGTGATCCCCTATTCCCGTGTTTTGTAGTGATCCCATATTCCCGTGTTTTGTAGTGACCCCCTATTCCCGTGTTTTGTAGTGATCCCCTATTCCCGTGTTTTGTAGTGACCCCCTATTCCCGTGTTTTGTAGTGATCCCCTATTCCCGTTGAAAACCATACACGAGTTTTGCAAATTGTGTATTAAATTTATCAATAATCAAGTATATTTTTCATATTTGAAACTCCAAATCAAGAGCCGCCTATGGACCAATCAGTTAGATGCTCATCGCCAACGAAGGAATTACCGAGTTTCCTCCGACTTAAAACAAAGGGTAAAATGGGTCTGCATCGCTCACCTGGTATTAATCTCACAATTGTAACCTTAAAAGAGATCTAAAATATCAGTATTCCTGACTTAAGGTCATTTAAAAGAACCTGTTTAAAAGTTTTAATACATTTGACCCCTGTGACTTTGAAATAGAACAAGGTCATTACGGTGAACAAACTTTATAGCCATTCATCCTCGAATATAACTTGCCAAATATCACCACCCTAGATCTTTTGTTTATCAAGATAAGGTCATTTAAAGATTAATACATATTGACCAATTGTGACCTTGAAAATGGGTCAAGGTCACTTAAATGAAAAACCTCGATAGTCCTTTATACAAGCATGCTACTGGCCAAATATCAACATTCTGGGCCTCGTGGTTATTAAGAAGTTGTTTCAAGATTTCAGACATTTTTCACCCATTTGACCTTGACTAACAGTATAGGTAGTTCATTTGAATAAACTTGGTAGCCCTTAATCGTAGTATACAACTGGCCAAATATCAACATTTTGAGCCTCATGGTTTTTTAGAAGTCGTTTTAAGATATTAAACATATTTGACCCCTGTGACCTTGAATACAAGAGGCCCAGAGAGCCTGTATCGCTCACCTGGATACCTAAGCAATCATGGCAAACTATTCTCCAAATGAGATCAAGGGAATATGCCAGACCCCAAGACCAATCCTTGTAGCATAGCTATATTGGATTTTTCATGCCCAGCAGTTTTATGTATGGTTATGGGGTGGGGATCTCAACTGTTTCCAAGCTACGACTCAGAAAACTAGGTCCCTAGAGTTGTGGCCAGACCCCAGGATCGATTCTAATATCGTGACTGCATTTGTCTCTTTTTGCCAAGCATTTGTATACATAGTTTTGGGGTGGGGATCTCAACCGTTTCAAAGTTATGACCCAGGGGCCAAGTCTGCAAGGGTGGGGCAGACCCTGGGATCAATTCTAATATCATGACTGCATTCGTCTCTTTATGCCCAACAATTGTATATATAGTTTTGGGGTGGGGATATTAACCATTTCAAAGTTATGACCCAGGGGTTAAGTCTCCAAGGGTGGGGCAG